CGCCGCGAGCGACGAGGTCCACGACGAGTAGTAATCAAGAAGCCACAAAAAGGGGGCGTTGTGAACAGAGAGTATGCGGGGAAAAGGGGAGCTGCAAAAGGGGAGTTGTTAGTGAACACAGGGGAGGTGGGGCGCGCGACGGGCGGGACGCTCCGTGCGAGGCGGGGGCGAGCGACGGGGGCGCGGGTCGCGGCCGGGGCGGAAACGGGTTCGCCCCGGCCGGTCATGGAGCGCGGGTGTCGATGGGCTCGCTCTCGCCTCGGGAGCTCGGCGTCGCGCGCCTAGTGTCAGGAGCCGCCGGCGCAGGCGACCTTGGGGCCCCGCTTGACAGCGTCGACGTAGAGCTGGTCGAAGTGGAGCGCGTGGTCGTGGATCGCGTCGCCGAGCGCGGCGATGTCCTCCGGCGCGACGAGGTGGACGGCCTTGGCGATGCCCTTGGCGGCGACCTTGTCCGCCAAGGCGACGATGCGCGCGTGGTCCTTCGCGTGCGACGCGAGCGCGGACAGCGGCCCGGTCCAGCCGAAGCCGACCTCGGCCATGAGCGCCTCCTCGTGCGCCGAGTGCTCCGCGAACTCCGTGCGCACGGCGGCGAGCGCCTCGAGGGACCGGTCCCTCGCGAGCGTTTCCAGGAGCGCCGTGAGCTCCGCGTGCTCGTCGTCCATCTCCGCGTGGCCGACCTTGGGCAGCGGCCGGACGCCGCCGGCGGTCTTCCGCCGCTTCGGGTCCTCGTCGTCGCCGGCCTCGTCGAAGAGCTCGGGCGCGTCGCCGACGAGCGCGACGTTCTCGACGCGGAGCGCGACGGTGCGGCCCGCGCGGCCGCCGACGGTGACGGCGACGCGGCCCTTGCGCTTCAGGTCGACGGGCGTCTGCGCCACGATACCGTGCGCGCCCTCGAGCTCCGGCGCCTTGGCCAAACCACGAAGCACGACCTCGGCGCCCACGGGGAACGCGTCGTCCTCCGGCGCGGCGAGCATCGGCGCGATCATCTGCTCGACGGCGCGGAACGCGCGCTCGCGGTAGTCCAGGAACGACATGGACTTGGTCGTCACGAACTTGCCCTCGGCGTCGATGACGATGAAGCCGCTGCAGCCGAGCTGCGCCGGGAAGAGGCCCCGCCACTCGTCCACGAAGCAGTTCGTCGCCGCTTTGAAGAACATCTGGCTGAACTGCTTCGCGACCGATGCCGACTCCACGCACACGCAGAGGAACAGGGCGCCCGCGCCGTAGGCGCGTTGCCAGTGGTCCATCTGCTGCGCGCAGGGCCGGCAGCCGCCTCAGCCGCCGTTGTAGAGGTGGATGACGAGGGGCTTGCCCAGCATGGCGCTCAGGGGCATCTTCGCGCCGATGGTCCCGTTCGAGCTCACCATCGTCACGTCGAAGGACGGCACCTGCTTGCCCGCCCAGCCGCTCATGGTGATGGCGGCGTTCGAGGGCGCGAGCCGGGCGGGTGGCTTGGTTTATTGGGCTCCTTCGGTCGAATGCCTTGGCGAGTTCGCTGCTTAACTTCACGCACCACTTGACTTCGTACTTGGCCTCGTCGTCGCAGGGGATCGCGCGCGTGCTCGCGCGCCCGTAATTTGCGAGGTCCTACGGGCGGCGCGAACGGACCGCCGGAGGTTCTTCTAAGCCGCCTCCATTAGGAAGACCACGCCGAGCGGCTAGTTCACACTCTCAGTCGCCTCCGGGAGGCTAGACTGGTTCACTTTCTGCGCTTCTTGACTCTCGACCTGCCCTCGGCAATACGCGGTGTGTGGATGGTCGCGGCCGTACTCGCGCTCAAAGATCGCGAGCGCGCGC